GACGTGGAGCACAGGCGCTCTTGATTCTGGAGGTCATTAATATTATAATAACACTAATACTGAAATGGTGAGGCATTTTAAATTGACCAAAACAACATTTCAGATGTTTTATAATGTGCTCAGCCTGACTTTTATCCATTCACACATATTTTAAGCATCACAGGATCTCTTTTAACAAAATCACATGACCTTTTTTAATGCGCATGCTGGAGTTTGTGCGGTATGTGTTTCCATCGCAGTTTATGCGCATCTTTTCTTATCGAATAAAAAGTTTATCCTACCCAGTTAGGCGCATAAGTTTTTTATGCGCATTTTCAAAATTTATGCGCATCATGGCGTTTCCATCAACTGTTTTTTTTAATGCGCATTTGCAAAATAGCGTAAAAATAGCATAAAATAGGTGGATGGAAACATAGCTAGTGTAACATTTGTATAGCAGTGTTGTGGTGGGGAGAGCGAGTGGAGACACCGGCGGCTGGTCAGTAGCTTAATCAGAAATAATTAATAACACCTGTTTTCTCTAGTGATTGGGCCGGAGAGACACCTTAGCTGCGTCCCAAATGGCACACTATACACTATGCACTCATGCACTATGAACTATGCACTTACACACTCAACAGGATAGTACATGCATGTAGTGGCGTCCCAAATGGCACACTAATGTTTTTTCACTAAGCGTAAATTCAAAACGTTTCCCTGATGACATTTGACGGTTGCCAAATTAGTGAAATAAACGACCAAATTATCAAATAATACCTGCCACGAGTATTGCCGCATTCACCATCGGGAGGCGCTATAATCACTCTTGTGGGAGAATTTTGCTTTCACAATCCAAAATAAATAAAGTTATTCAACATGTGTGCCCGATAGCTCCGCCCCTTCCGCTATGTGAGCAAACCTGCGGTCGCTGAGTGCGTGAAGTGTCCATCATTACACACTCCATTTTAGCGGCTGAATGAGTGCATCATCCGGGTAATTAAAGTGCACTTAATATTTTTAGACTTTTCAGTGTGAACACACTACTTACACTATTTAAACTACAAAATGGCGTAGAATAGTGCATAAGTATGCGACTTGGGGCGCAGCTCTTCTTAAGGGAGTGAGAGAGACCAGTTGGGAGAGAGAGAGCTGAGCGACAACCAGCACATTTGGAGCTTGTTGCTTAAAACTGAAAAAATAATAAAAATTGTGACTTACCCTATCGCCGACACTGTCTTCTTCTTCCCACAACAAAGAACCTTTCTACAGTGTTGCCGAAATCCAGGGAAGAAGAAGAGACCTCGCTTTTAAGATGACCACTCTGTCGACCAGTCCGTTTGCGCTACACAAAATGGGGCCACTTGATGACCCGGAAGTGTTCCTGGATTTGCTTGAAAAAATGGCAGAGGCGTGTGGGTGGCAGTGGGCTGATCGGCCGGTGAGAATCATCCCGCTGCTGTCGGGCGAAGCTCAGACACCCGCACAGCAACTACCGGCTGAGGATCTCCTGAACTACGCTCACCTGAAGCGAGCCATCCCTTCGTATTCGCCCAGCAGCTCCTTGACACCTGCCGCAGATGGCTGATGTGGGATGAACGACCCATTACACGGTCGTGGATGCCTAGGTACTGCAGCAGTTTATCGCCCGCCTTCCCTCCCGAACATTGGAGTGGGTCCAGTGCCACCGGCCAGACGATGTGGAAACGGCCATCCAGCTGGCGGAGGATTACCTGGTAGCGAGATGGGGAGTCACGAGCCATGGGTGGTTTTCAACCGCTGACAGGTCTCTCTCAGGCCCAATTGGTTGGTCCTGCTGGCCCGTGAATAGAACCTTTCTACAAGTGTTAATTGAATACCCCTCATAATATCTACAAATACAGCCAATAATAGCTGAACCCCTGAGAAGAACCTGTCGTCTTAAAGAGCTGGATGGTCTTAGGCACTGCACTGCAGCACAGTTTCAGATGGTTGGCTATCTTCTCATAGCTTAGGCCATCTTTATGTAAAGCAACAATTTGTTTTTAGGTCTTCTAAGTGATGCTTGCCATGAGGTGCCATGTTGAACTTTCAGTGGTCAGGTTGAGAGAGTGGAAGACCAAATTTAACTCACCTGCTATCTAGTGACACCTGAGACAGCGTAACACTAATGAGTGACATGGCACAGGGGAAGGAAAATGACTAATTGTGCTCAATTTGTAAATTTTGTCTTAGGGGTGTACTCACTTTTGTTGCCAGGGGTTCAGCTATTATTGGCTGTATGTTTTTGGCATTATTTTTCTATTTTGGTTTCGTTCCTTCTTCATTTGTTGCGTTTGAGCTGGCACTTTTCACATGAGTTTGCACAGACCACACTTCTTCTCCAGATATAAAATGTTGCTTTCATTTCTTTGACCGTGTTAAAAAATGAAACCAAATGAAAACCAGCTGACCTGTCTTCATGCTGAAGAAGACCAGAAAGAGACACCCACACTGCGCTTACAGGAGTTTCCGGCTTAATTTGCATAAACATTGGAGCACACATATTGTGTAAAGATTAATAAATCAGTTTTGAGTAACATTATTGATTTAATATAGTGCACAGATCTGTCAGAATGTCGTTGTTTTAAATGAAGTTGTGCACATGTGTGGGATAATGCTGAGAGCGCTTCAGGAAGTCTGAGTAATGTTACGAAACTGGTTTCCTAGCAAAATCACACTGTTTACTGCGCTGCCAACAGTTTAACCAGTTGCCTATTTTCTGCTTTTATGACATTGAGATTTAGAAGAGAGAGCAAAAAGCATGTGTGAACAATTATTATTGCTTGTATAACAGAGGCCAGCTATTAAGTGCAGGTAAACATCACTCTTCTGACCTCTAAAGGTGCTCTAGCGACAGATGCTAGAGGTCATGGTCTTTAACCTCCTTGGTAGAGCAACCGACTCCCATGCGGAAGGTCACCGGTTTGATCCCAGCTCGGAGCGGGTTGGGTGGTGTAGGACCGGCAGAGTAACATTGGTGCCATGACCCGGGTGAGAGTGAGGTTTAGGGGTGTGAGTGTAACGGAGGCCAGCTAGTGAAGTGCTGTGCAGGTCAACCTCACTCCTCTGACCTCTAAAGGTGCTCTAGCGACAGAGGCTAGAGGTCATGGTCTTTAACCTCCTTGTTAGAGCAACCGTCTCCCATGCGGAAGGTCGCCGGTTCAATCCCAGCTTGGAGCGGGATGGGTGGTGTAGGACCGGCGGGGTTACACTTCCAAGGTAGATTAACCTTTTGTTGTCATTCATTTTCAGGATATAGCCGTGCTAACAGTGACTACATTCACATGGACATCAGTGATATAATCATTTACCTTAATCTACTGTAAATAAGGCAGTAATATGATTTAGATATTTATTTGAGTTTCTTTTTTGAATGTTGTATTCATTTACATTGTTACAGTCATCAGCGATCTAACTACTGCAGATCACTGGAGAGCTACGAATCTTCCACATATACGAACTACAACTTCCAGCATGCACCACACACACACCTGTTCCTGATCCAGACTGACGCACAGCTGAAGCTGCTCAAGAACCAATTATAGTTTTACAGCACACACGCACACTGAGTCTTGTTGTTGTTACCTGTAACATAGCATTGGTGTAAATGTGAACATGCTGATTGTGACAGATAGCAGACCTCTAAATATTGGCCTACAGGTATTCAGTACTCTCAGCACTTCTGTGGCCTTTTTGTTAAGAAACATTATCTATTCTTACACTGCAAAAAATGCCTTTATATTAAACATCTTTGTCTTGCTTTCTAGACAATTATCTTAAAAACATTAAATCAAGAAGCATTTTCTAGACAGGCAAAATATAATGTCTTGTTTTAAGAAATAATGTGCCAAATTTAAGAGCGTTTTTCCTGAAAACAAGCAAAACAATCTAGCTTTTCCTTTTAACATGAGTTTATTTTGCTTACTTCATTGGCAGATTATTTTGCTTGCTTTTTCTCACTAAATGCTTCTATATATTGCTTTGCTTGTCTAGAAAATGCTTTTTGGTTTAAGAGTTTGGACTAGAAACAAGACACAAAGTCTAAGAAAAACATTTTTGCCGTGCTGTTCTGTTCTCCAAGCTGAGGTGCACAGTGAAATAGGAAAGTACCTCTTGATTCATGTTTGTCCTATAACCTGATATATCCCATAATCTCCTACAGATCTTGTTAAATCTGTTGGAAATGAGTGTTTAACTGTCTGTTTAGCCTTCTCTAATGATAGGAGAATGGGAACCGGGCTTCATTTGCTGTTGATTAATGTTCCCTGTTTGCTGGCCAGCTTTCTCAGAGCTCGGCTTGACTTCTCTTTTCATCTCCGTCTGGAAGCGTGCAGCGAAACCTCTGGGTCAAAGAGCTCGAATATTTTATAAGTTTAGGTTTAAAGTATGCAGTCAGAATTTGCCCTCCTGTGAATTTTCTTCTTCTTCAAATATTCCCCAAATGATGTTGACAGAATCAGGAATTGTTCACAGTATTTCCTCTAATATTTGTTCTTCTGGAGAAAGTCTTATTTGTTTTATTTCGGCTTGAATAAAATCAGTTCTTAATAGTTTTAAAGCCATTTTAAGGTCAATATTATTCACCCCCTTCAGCAATATTAGTGTTGGATTGTCTCCAGAACAAACCACTGTTATACAATGACTTGCCTAATTACCCTAACTTTACCCTAATTACCCTAGTGAAGCCTTTACATGTCACTTTAAGCTGAACACTAGTGTCTTGAAGAATATCTAGTCTAGTATTATGTGCTGTCATCATGACAAAGAGAAAATAAATCAGTTACTAGAAATGAGTTATTAAAATATCATGTTTAGAAATGTGTAGGAGAAATCAGGTGGGGGGTGAATATTTATGAATTAATTATTGTGAATACACCATCTTCATATCTTTCATCTGATTAAATCCACTAACCATTAACCAACATGGTTTGTGAAAAATATTAGATGCATATAAAAATAAAATCCATTTTAAATAGGAGTCGAGACGTGTTTTCTGCAGTGGTTTAAGGGTCATCTGTAGGCTGGTGTGTGTTTGTCTTGGTCAGCACAAACACAGCTGACGTCACCCGCAGCTTTTAGACAGTGCTAAACTTCTCCTTGTGTCTGCATGGCAGGAACCAAAAAAGCAGAAGGTAGAAAGTAAGATTCGTTTCCTTTCAGAAAGCTCTATGAAAAGAAACGTAAACTAAACCATGAAGCATTTGCAAAACAGCTCAGCGCACTGGCTCTGGGGGTCTTTCTGAGGCTGGTGAGTGTTCAGTTTTATACAGCACATTACACGACACCTCAGTCATGAAGATGTGGAACGTCACTATGTTTGTAGACTGTTTAATTATGAGTATTAATAATTTATTATTATCTGATGGTAATTGATTGATGTTTCAAATAATGAAAGTTTTGAATGTTTGAATTCATTACATTCTGGCAGGCGTGGTAAACAAAATGAATAAAATAATTTCACAAAACTAAATTTTAAGCCTCATTAATAAATGATGTTTCTTGATTGATGCTTGCATAACTAAACTAAGTTAATCTAATTAATTTACAGTGCAAAAAAATGTTCATGGGCATCATGGTGGTGCAGTTTGATTGCCTCTCTGCAAGAAGGTTGCTGGTTCAAGCCTCGACTGGGTTTGTTGGAATTTGTGTGGAGTTTGCATGTTCTCCCTGTCTTGGTGTGGGTTTCCTCCGGGTGCTCCGGTTTCCCCAACAGTCCAAAGACATGTGGTATAGGGGAATTGGGTTGGTTAAATTGTCCACAGTGAATGAGTGTGTATGGATGTTTCCCGGTGATGGGTTGCAGTTGGAAGGGCATCCGCTGTGTAAAACATATGCTGGATAAGTTGGCGGTTCATTCCGCTGTGGCAACCCCTGATTACTAAAGGGACTAAGCCAAAAAGAAAACGAATTAATGGGAAACGCTTCTTGAATTAAGACATTCTAGATATTTGGAACAAAAGAAACAAAACCAAAATGTTGTAAGCTAAATAATCTAGTTTTTCCTTTTCACACAAATTTACTTAGCTTAAGCCATTGGCAGATTATTTAGCTTGTTTTAGTGGAAAAACTCATTTTGACATATTTCTCACAACAGGACGAAAAATTTCTTGTCTTGTAAATGCTTTTTGATTTAGGAATTTTTAAAAATATTTGCACTAGAAACTAGACAACATACCAGAGTGAGAAAACCATTTTCTGGTGTATTACTGTACTTGAAGCTGAAGTGTACGAGGTAAATACCTCAAATTCATGTTTGTTCTAAAAGCTGATATAACCCAAACACTCACCTACAGTTGAAGTCAGAATTATTCGCCCTCCTAAATAATTACCCCCCTTGTATATTTGTATTTTGTTCACACATAATAATTTAATAACTTCATTTAAAGGCTTCACTAGGGTAATTAGGGTAAAGTTAGGGTGATTAGGCAAGTCATTGTATAACAGTGGTTTGTTCTGGAGACAATCCAACACTAATATTGCTGAAGGGGTGAATAAAATTGACCTTAAAATGACTTTTAAAACTGCTTTTATTCTAGTGAAATAAAACAAATAAGACTTTCTCCAGAAGAACAAATATTAGAGGAAATACTTTGAACAATTCCTGAATCTGTTCAACATCATTTGTAAAATAATGGGAAAAAGGACGGTGATTGTGAATAATTGTGACTTCAGTTGTATATTTTTTTAAATTAAATTTTTATTTATATTTAAAATAATATATATTCTAAATAATATTTTTATAAACACTTGATTTAACCTTCTAGGGCTTACACTGTAAAAAAAAAAAAGTTGGGTTCCACACAATTCCTTCATGCTGTCTAAACACAAATTGATTAGATTAACTTTATTGTTTTTACAAATTTAAGTTGATTGAACATAAAACAATGAAGTTATCCCACAAAAGCCCTTAGGAATTGTGTTGATTCAGATTATTTTAAATAAGTAGTTTAAAGAAGCAGCAAAAATATTATAATATAAGTGTCTATTTAAAATACTTTGAATGTTTTATATTTTGTTACAGACATACAGTGTCATCCTGCAGCTGTTTTGCAGCATATGAAATGTCCCAAACCCTCGTTTTTAACTGTCCAAAAATGGGCAAAAAAAATTTTGTTTTTACACTCTGATAGTTAAAAGATATTTAAAAATATATATGTAAAATATGCATTAAAAACATTCAGGAAAAAGTGTTTTATGTAAATTGGGACCACAAGTCCACATGTATGGACATAATTTTTTTCTAAAAGTTCATCATATCAAAAGATGATACTTAGATTTTTATTCTAATTAGGTTCCAATAAACCCAAATAGCCAAGAGAAATAAAAAATGCATGTAAAAACACCTTGGGCTTTAAGAGGTTAAGGTTTTTTACATATCTGGACTAGAAACAAGCCAAAACCCTAAGTAAAAAGCACATTTTTTTGCAGTGTACATTATTATAGAGCATTTCAATGTGGTGATGTCACTGACTCATGAATATTTCCTGCTTGTTGTTAAACTATTTTCTAGCTGTAACAAGAGGCAATTCAATCATACCTTGACGTTAAAACAGCTATCATGACATTATTTATCAATCAATATGTGGCTCTTTTTAAATTCTCGGAAGCTATGGAAATTAAAAATGTAAATCAGGAAATACGTTAGGAGCATTGTTATTGTTTAACTCCCTCAAAACAGTCTTAGGACTCATCATTTCATTATGCATTCTTTCATTCAGGACTTCATTACTTCACCCAGCAGGACTCATCAATGGAGCAAACAACGCAGCTCAGCTTCTCCAACAGCAGCGTCTCCAACAGTTCATCCTGTTCTCGAGACGGCGCTCTGAAAACCATCGTCTTCCCCGTCCTCTACTCCATCCTCCTCATCCTGGGATTATCCCTGAACGCTCTGGCGGCTTGGGTTTTCCTCCGGATCCCCAGCAAATCCCACTTCATCATCTACCTGAAGAACATCGTGGTGGCCGACATCATCATGACCCTCACATTCCCCTTTAAAATATTATCCGATGCCAATGTAGCGTCCGTGGGCATCCGCATTTTTGTGTGCCGCGTGTCCTCCGTGCTCTTCTACCTCACCATGTACATCAGCATCCTGTTCTTCGGTTTGATCAGCATCGATCGCTGCAGAAAAACCATGTGGCCGTTCGTAGGCACCAACCCCAAACGTCTACTGCACAGAAAACTGCTTTCGGGAGTCATCTGGACGTCTCTCCTGGCTCTTTCGCTCCCAAATGTAATCCTGACCAGTCGTCCGAATATTGGAGAGCGCTTCAAATGCAGCGATCTCAAAACTGAGCTCGGACTGCAGTGGCATGAGGTGGTCAATCATATATGCCAGGTCATCTTTTGGGGAAACCTTATAATCGTGATCATATGCTACACGCTTATTTCCAGAGAGCTCTACAAGTCGTACGCCCGCACGAGGTCTCCGCGTGGGACGCAAAGCAAGAAGAAACACATCCAGGTTAATGTGTTCCTGGTGTTGGCCGTGTTTTTCATTTGTTTTGTGCCGTTTCACTTCGCGCGAGTGCCCTACACCATCAGCCAGACGCGCGCCCTCCTGTTCAGCTGCCCGCAGAAGCTGTTTTTCTTCAAGCTGAAGGAGAGCACGCTGTGGCTGTCCTCCCTCAATTCTGTGCTGGATCCGCTCATCTACTTCTTCCTCTGCAAGTCCTTCAGGTCGTCGCTGTTTAATGTGATGCGATTGGCTCCGGGACGCTGCAGGATCCTGAGGGAGCTCGGGACAGATTCGGCCGGCGATCAACAGGGAAACGCACTGACATGATGGACAAAACACGGACACACACATGGGAAAAACACTGGGGCTTGTTCTGTAAACATGCAATTATACAATGGGCAAGTGTTTTTCAACCACAGATACACTATCAATCAGAGGTTGATGTGTTCTTAAAGGTCCTGTTGAATTAAAATAGAAAAATGTCGATGTTACGCTGCAAAAAAAGCTTTCCTTACTTTGATTTTTTTTGTCTTTTTTTCTAGTCCAAATATCTAAAAATTCTTATATCAAGAAGCATTTTCTAGACAAGCAAAACATATTGTCTTGTTTTTAGAAATAATGTGCTAAAATTAAGTCAGTTTTTCCTTCAAACAAGCAAAATAATCTGCCAATGGGGTAAGAAAAAGGATCTTGCTTTTCCTTTTGACTTCCAGGAATATTTTTCTTACCCCATTGATAAACGAAGAACCAGTCAGTTTTCATAACGGATAAACAGCTCTCTGTAATATTTCAGCATGCTTTCACTTGAAACATGAAACTCACATTTACTGATAGGAATGACATTCGCCCTACTCATAAATCTTATTCCAACCCAAGCTCATTCTGGAAACGTAGCCCCGCGGATGTTTCTGGAGACCGCGATTTACGTGGCTGGAGGTACGCAAGGCAGCGTTTAGTTTTTTCAAGCGAACGCTGCGGGGCGGTGTGGTGCCGCTCCGCCCCTCCTCTTTGCGCTCGCCGGCCGACGGCTTGCCTCCGAGTGGAGGGCTTTCCCGATGCAACCAGTTTGTCCGCTTAGCTCACAGCGTTGCGTCGGCGGAGCGGAGGCCCTGGAGGAGGAGGAGGAGCCGGCCATGGTGGACGACGACCGGGATCAAGTCCAGGGAACAGCGGTTCCGGAAATCAGGTAAGACGAAAAATGGAATCCGAAAAATAAGGGCGAGAATGCGGCGGGATCCGAAAACTTGGTCGAAATCAAAGACGAGGGCTTTTGCTTTTTTTTTTTTTCTGGACGGCTTTTGCGAACCGTTGCTCGGGTTTAGGGGAGGAGGAGGAGGAGGGCGGCCGAGTCGGCGGCTTTTCGCGCGAGAACGGTGCAGGCACAAATGGCGCGCGCTCCCGAGAGGCGCCGGAGACGCGAAAAAGCGCGCACAGCGGCCTTTCGCGGATTCGCGAAAACAAAAACCGCTCGAATACGTACCTCCCGGGACGTAAATCGTGGTCCGCAGAAACGTCCGCGGGGCTACGTTTCCACAATGAGCCCGGGTTGTCTTATTCACATAGCCATATATGCCGATTACATATCCATAATACACTGTAACATAGGCTGGTTCGTTAGTTCACTGGATCATATAGCTTTCTCACTACAATCAATCCGCTTCAGAGTTCGTTCATTTGAGCCGAGTCCACCTCCTTCAGGCGATCTCAGACCAATTGTTTTGGTGTGGATCAGAGTGTGATTGCTGGATTCACATATGCCAAACGAACCGCGCTAACTGGAGAAACGGGCCAGGTTCCAAAACAAAAGTCTAGGTGTGAAAGCACCCTAAAACAAGATGAAAACACACCAACCCAGGCTCATTCTGAAAACGTAGTCCAGCGGATGTTTCTGGAGACCGCAAAATACGTCCGGAGAGGTACGTATTTCTGCAGTTTTTGTTTTCGCGAATACGCAAGACACCGCTGTGTGCGCTTTGTCGTATCTCGAATGTCTTGCGAGTGCCGTTTGCGCCTGCGCTGTTATTGGGTGAACCCACCAGAGGCCGCTGTCTGACTGACCGAATGATTGACTGCGCAACCGGCCAATCGGCTGACCCACCTTCCTCCTTCCCTAAACCCAACCAGTTTTACTGATTGTCCCGCCCGCCCGCTCACTTTCCTAAACCCGAGCAACAACTTAGAAAAGCGTCTAGAAAAAGAAAAGCCCTCGTCTGATTTCTTTACCACGTTTTCGGATTTCACCACGTTCTCACCCTGTTATGAACTCGTTCACTTTATTTTTTGGATTCTGTTTTTGTCTTACCTGATTTCTGGAACCGCTCTTCCCCGGACTCGAACCCCGTCGCCGTGGTCAACTCCTCCTCTCTGCATCTGAAGTCCGCCGGACGTATTTCGCGGTCTCCAGAAACGTCCACGGGACTACGTTTTCAGAATGAGCCTGGATTAAAACAAACCCAAAATGGAAGTGCCTTCTGGAGCAGCAGACAGGCACAGAAACTCCAATAAAGATACTGTGGTAAAATATATTTCCATCTTTTTAAGACATGAAACTGAACAAAGTAATTTAATGCAGCGCTTCATGATTAGTCTGAGACCCACTTTATATTGTACATCAATCAAGCAGTGACGATCATTCGTTTTCTAAGAAATCAGATGTTAAATGCAGCGATATACCCGACAGGCAATCCCAAGTGTACAAATCTCACAGTTTGCCATGGCAATGTTCTTGTCATCAACTTTATAATACCTCCAGGCTGCAGACATACTCACACTTACCACTTGAAGCTGAATCTGTGTTCTACTTTGCCGGCATTTAACCAATCGCATCTCAGCGACAAAGTGATGTCAAGCCGCACTCGATGCTGTTTCGGTGTGAAGAAAGAGGTCTACCTCTGTGCCACCCCTTATAGATTTGTTAAAATATATACTATATTTCTCTATCTATACTATGTGTTAAAAATAGTTCCTATATATATATATATATATATATATATATGTGTTCGAGTCCTGTTCGGTAGGTAACGTATGATTCCGATCGAGTCTGAAATCTAGTGATCGGATCTGGACATCCCTAGCTAATACCATTGATCCCTTATCATTTATAAAGTCAGGGGATATTATTTATGAAAATAAGTGATTATTCTTTGTTGCTGACAAATCTATAGTATCAAGACTGACACTGATACTATACAGACTGTGATTAAACTCATTAATGCTAAAGTGCAAAAGCTTTAATATTACTGGCCACAGGTAGTCTTGATTATAGTAACATCACATATAGAGCTGGCATTTACTTGTAAATAAAAATGGTAAAACTACTATACTACTTCACAAAACAACGAGCATAGCAAGACGCTATATATAGCATGTCTGACTTCTGCATGTCAGAAGTCAACATCTGTTCTTCAGCATCTTGTGTCATGGTTGTGCCTTTACAACAGGAACAGAGTCGCTTCTCTAAATTACTGCTCATGGATTGCTAAACATAAAATGCCATGCTTCTGTTAAAGATCTAATGAATTAATACAATGAATACCAGATTACTGCACTGAACAGAAGTGCACTTGAATACATCTTGTTAAAAACAAGACTGACTTGCAAACTTTAAGATATACAGTAACTCATAAGCTGGTGCAAGACATTATATATATTTATATACACTACCGGTCAACAGTTTGGGGTCAGAAGGATTATTAAATGTTTTTAAATAATTATGTTTAAAATAATAATAATTATTTTTACTATTATTATTGTTATTTGTATCATTATTACTACTATTATTATTATTAGTACTATTATTATTACTATTAATATTATTATTAGTAGTACTATTATTACTATTATTATTAATATTATTATTATTATTAATACTATTATTATTAATAATACTATTATTATTAATATTATTAATATTATTATTATTACTATTTATATTATTATTATTATTATTACTATTAATATTATTATTATTATTATTGTTGTTATTATTACTATTATTATTATTATTATTATTATTATTATTATTAATGTGATAGTAATAAAAGCAATAATGACTGGAGTAATAATTCTATTTGAAACTACACACAATAAAAAACTGTTATTTAGCATTGTAATAAATATTTAACAATTAAAAAAAATATATATATATTATATTTAATAAATGGCGCCTTGATGAACAGAATCATTTTCTTAAAAAAACATGAAAAAAAAGACCCCAAACTTTTGACCGGTAGTGTGTTTATATATATATATATATATATATATAGTGTGTTTATATATATATATATATATATATATATATAAACACACTACCGGTATAATTTTAGCAGTTTGGCGCCATCTGGTGACTCAATAATGCGCAGGTTAGTGTATACTCCATTCAGCCACTTTCATCTCGGTCAGCTTTGTGTTTAATTAAAGAATTAATAAACTATTATTTTTCAGAGCAATGTTTTGTGTCAAATGTTTATGTTTTGTTTCAGGTAATCATGTAACAATCAGGAAGTAACATCAAGGATGGTTATTTTCGCAGAATAAACCCTTCAGTCTTACACAACAGTGCTGCGTTTCGGGTCAGGCTTATGATAAACCTGTCGGGCTTTATTCTCCAATCACAACCTCCTGGATGTGCTTTATCCTTTACATATTACTCATTGAAGTTGTACTATCATGTTTAAACATACCTACATGCCTGCACACACACACACACACACACACACTGATGTATTAATCAAACTGTACAATGATAATCACTGAATAAATCTATGAAATGAAGGTGTGTGATGACACTTTTCATTACACTAATGTGATGAACTCTCCATTACCTGCTTGTTGTAATGAAATGTGAACACAGAACTCAGAATTCCCCAAACTTTCCTGTGCAATGTGAAACTAACTCATCTGATAAACACACTTCTGCTAATAAACATTTTAACCCATTAAGGAAACTATTTTAGGTCATTTTAGTGGATAATTCATACAATTTCACACACAAAAAAAGTACAGTTTTTAAAAGGAGGTCAAAAAGCTACGAATTGCCGTGAGAAAATGTTGAAGAGCCGGTGTTTGTGTGCGGTGTCTGTGTGTGGTCTGACACCAACACAACTTTCAGAAAACACCTGAAGAGAACACACACATTTATTGATAAACACACACACACACACACACACACACACACACACACACACACACACAGAACATCCTTTGTTAATGTTTTAAACTCTGTGAATTGTGAATATTTACCTGTTAGGGAGTATATGATGGTAATTAACGGTATTCCCTCTGAGCTTAAGAAATTATTAGTAAATGATATAGTTCATGAAACAAATTTAGATTTTAGTCTTAAATTAGAAGGAATAAATATAAAAGAAAAAAAAATGTAATAATAATTATCTTAGAATGATTTGCCGGATTGTCAATGCTCCTTTAGCTATTGGGTATTGGAAATCACAATTCCAAGATGTTAATTGGAACAAGACTTTTAAGATTTCCAGACGTTTTTGTATAACGAATAAAATTAGAGAGGTGTCATTTAAAAATTTTCATCGTATTTACCCTGTAAAACAGGTGATTGCAATGATTAAAAATGTACTTTCTGTAACGATAAAGAGGAGAGTTTTGTTCATTTACTTTATGATTGTATTCATACACAATTGTTTTGGTGTGATCTTTCCTTTTTTTGTTAAGCAGAGTGCGAATATTGCACTGGAATTCAAAGAAAAAGATGTTTTATTTCTTTATGAGAATACTTCAAAAATTTGGCATATTGTTAATTTGCTTATTATATATGGAAACATTTTTATTCATAAATGTAAATGTGAAAAAAACTAATTTTACTCACTTTAAAATAGAAGTAAGTCATTACTATGCACGATAAAAGAAACAAAAAATACCAAAGCAAAAAGAACTG